TTACAAGGCTGGAACAGCAGCTATTGATTGCTTCCATACTGAGCAAAAAATGTGTGAGGAAAGCTAAAACCTCTCCAAACTCTGCTGCTGATCTGAGGTAGAAAAGCTGGAAACCACAGTGTTTGATAGCTCACTGAAACAATGGCTGTGAAACAGGATTGATTAGAACAGTAAAGTGGATTATAGACAAATCATTGGCACAATAAAGACAATTTTTCTCGAGAAATGAAGTTTGCACCCTGGTGCTCCTCAATCACATTTATTTTACTGCAGAGCAGATCTAATGTAAGTGTTCCTGTTAATTTAACAGACAGAAAGATGCGCTGCAGTACATTATTTAAGCCAAACATTACCAGATAATTCTCCAATTTCTTAAAATTAAGGACTAGAATTAAACTAAACTCTCCATCTACAAAAAAACGAAACATTAAATGTCTGTAATTGCCTTTGTAAACTGTCTGACATGTCAGTTTACACATAGAAACCAGGGATTCATTTCTCCTGTCTCACATCTCTGACTTCTAACACATTTCTGTTGCTAAAGCGGAGCAGGCCTCACTCATCCAGAGAGCTGAACAACCAATCAACTTTACTTGGACATGTGTGGTCATGATCTGAAGGAGAACTGGAGGATTAAATCTGTCTTCTATGTCTGCACAGAACGCCATGGCTGATTTATTAAAAAAGAACAGAGCCACTTACTTACTGGAGGCTTAACCCAAGGAGCAAAATGCTACAGCAATGCTCTAAGGACATAACCACAATCCTTCTGGATCTACCTACAGCGGGGGTTGGCAACCCGCAGCTCTGGAGCCGCATGCGGCTCTTTAGCGCCCCCATTGTGACTCCCTGGAGATTTTTCAAAAATGTATGAAAATCTATTTTTTATATATATATATATATATATATATATATATATATATATATATATATATATATATATATATATATATATATATATATATATATATATATATATATACATTAACATTTGTATAACAAATAAATTAAAATAAAATTAAAATAATTTGCGTCATAGCCATAGAGATCTGTGGTCATAACTTGGAACCAGCATGGCGCAGTGCAAACAAAGCTGCAGGTGTGTCTCTAACTATGGATCCCAAAAGGAAAAAAGGAAGATAGCTAATGAGAAAAGAGAAATTAAAGAATGGACCGAATCACTTGCGTTCATTTTCAAAGCGGAAGGATTGCCTGCATTTTGTCAAAAAAGAAAAAGAAAAATATGGAAAGGCATTTCCAGGGAAGGCTAAATATGCAGGCGACCATCAAGTTGGGAGTGAGAGAAAAAGTGGGATTGCAGAACTTCTGGATGAATAAGAGGAGCGCAAAGATAGATTTAAGAAGTAGATTGCATTTCTAATACTGCTGCTATTTTGTTGAAAGGATGAAAAAGCGTCACCAGATCAAATAGGTAGCGCTTTGATGCAGGTATGTAAACTTTCTCCCATTTTTTCCCAAAATACTAAAAATATAAATCACACCAAGGAATGCTGGAGACAGAGGATGTGGGATTTCAGGGTTACAGAGCACTGCTCTGATGGATGCAACTCCTCCAACAGAAACACGTCCATCATAGAAAGATCAATGCAACAAAACTTAAACCGCGCGGTGAAGTGCAATGAAGTGGTGCGAGATTGGAGCGTTCACTGCTCATCCCTCACCTCATGCTACTATGTGACATTTGCTCCAGTATAAACATTTAATCATGCTTATTATATTTTTAAGCCAATATAGTCCTTTTCTATAGTGGTCTAATACACTTAGAGCCCGTGTTGCCATAAGAGGCATATATAGGACTTTAAAATTTTTGCGGTTCCAGACAGATTTCTTTTTTGTTTTTTTTTGGCCCAATATGGCTCTTTGAGCAGTTTGGGTTGCCGACCCCTGACCTAGAGCAAGCCGAGTCAAGAAGCGCTTGGATAAAATATGAATGTCGATGTAAACAGACAAGAAGCTAACTTGCCAAAAATGGCAAGTTGATGAATATGTAAGTAAATGCTGCCAGCAGACGGTGACAGATGCATTGTTGGTCTTCTGTAAAAATTCTTATCAGGCTCAAGAAGGACCAACTAAACACTACCTGGTGTAGGTAGAAGATCTACTTGGGTAGTCAGATCTGCTCTGGGCCCTGCACATGCCAGTGACGTTACGCTATTTGATTGGCCAAATGTTGCCCCAATGACTTTAAAACGTTGTGGTTGCCCGGACAACAGTAGTAAAATAATGCAACATCCGTGTGCTGATTCAGGAGCATCTGCAGGTCTAATGATCAATGAAGTTTTACCTATTTGATATCAAAACTGAAAAAAAATATATGTTTATGGTCAACAAAGTAACTGCAAGTACATGGTATAAAGAGGGAGAGCTGGGTAGGCTCTGTGGCTAACAGTTAGCCTATCATACTAACAACAACTGTTCATTTTCTACAAGTAGAAAAATTGTTGTTTTCATTGTCAAAAATCTCAACGAAAGTAACTAATGCAGTACTTGCTTTTAAGACTGGAAATGATTGTTTTCTACTTTTGGCTACTTTAAATCGACAAACGCAAAATAATCACAAATATAGAATAATAATACGTTGAGACTCCAGAAGAGATTCGATTCTAATGAAACAGGTGCAATACAGTTTGTCCAAGCGGTGTTGCTTTATTGTGACGTCATCAGCAGATCTGATCAACCATGCAGATCCGGTACTAACAGACAAACGCTCTGTCTAATTTGTTTTATTTAAAGATGAACAGAGGTGGGTAGCAACTAGTTACATTTACTTAGTTACATTTGTGAGTAAAATTTCTGTCCATTGTGAGTGACTTCACTTAATGAAAAAAAGTTTGTTCTGAACAAATACATATGCAACGTTGAGAGACACAGTTTTTTTCTTTATTGTACTCAAGGTTTATTGTTTAATTTTTTTTCTTCCATATATTGAGTCCTGGGTATGCTACAGACCTCTGAAGATTAATATATGTTTCTTTGTTTTGTAGGAATATCACATGATCAGGAAATACTGTAGGTTAAATCAGGTTCATCAGCTTTTTTTATTTTATTCTTTAGATTTTAAAACGTTCTCAGAAATAAATAGGCAGAGACCAACCACAAGCCTAAAATAAATATATATATATATATATATAAAGTCAGACAGTTATACAACAACGAAGTCAAGATAAAGTATTGGATGTGGTGTGGTGTGTTGATTTTTGGGGGAAGCTACGTTGGTAAATATGCTCCCTTCATGTAGTTGCTACGAGAAGAAATGTGATCTTATCCTTCTCACATTTTCACCATCAGATATTTGCAGAAAAGTCTTTAAACTTGGTTTGATTTAATACAAATGACACATCTTTGCATTTTTTCTCATTTTCCGACATAGTCTTAATAAATGTTCAAAGAATGATTTGAACGTGTCCAGTTGTATTCTGGGAAATTGGCTTTACCATGTTCTATTTGAACAGTTTATACAATCAGTTTTATCAAAACAACCAAAATGACATGTTATTTTTCTCCATTATATTGCCTTCCGTCTGATGTTTAATTGCTTTTTCCAATTATATTAACTTGTAAAGGAAAATTATTGTTCATATTTCTTTCTTCTCCTTCACCTTTTATTTTGCCCAATTATCGTGGAACAGGATATTGCTTTTTTTGCTTATGACATAGTCAGTTCTTTAATGTGGGGTCAGCATTTACTTTAACAGCTTGCTCCCTGCAGTTGAGCCATGTTTTCCCTCACATTTTTTTTTATTCACGGCTGTCAGATTAGCTTTCAAGGACATTTTTTTCCAGCTAATTTTATTTCCACACCACCCCAATGTTGCCAACAAAAAACCTGGAAAGTAATCATTATTGCACATAACAGGTAAATGTCAGCTATTTCACAGCATTGCCTCCAATATTTCAATCTCTAGATCTCTAAACGGATTCTTCCTTGGACTTCACACCTCTCCTTCACTTCACTATTGGGTAAATCCAGGACATTTTAATATTTATAAGTTAGTCTAAAGGTTTTTACTAGTAATTGGTATTACAAACCATGTTCTTCTTTCTCTTAATTAGAAAACTGAATCACGTTTAAACATAGCATACTTTTTTCTACACCGCCATGAATTGATTTTTAATACTGCAGCCACTTCCAACCAAATAAAAAGCAGAAGACCTCAGCTCCCTGCTGGGAATTGAGCATTGAGCAATGGACCAGCAAACCGAAACTCCCTCAATTTATCAAAGTGGCCCCACAAATCAATGTGGATTTCTTTGCTGGAAGCACTGCCCACGTGGCAGATCATTCCCATTACCACATAACAATATTGGCCTGTTGGGAGGCTGCGGTAATTTTGTCTGTAGTTTAAATCACAAGCAAACATCACATCCCTTCTCTTAGTTAGAGAATTAACCCAAACACAGAGGAAAGGTAAAAACCATCCGTGTGGGCCTTATTGCGCAAACAACCCACACAGACAATTCTGTACCTGCTCAGAGACAGCTAAATCAACCTCTGAACAAAACAAACAGATTTTGATCACATCGCTCTGGAGGTCAGACTGGACTCAGGCAGCATATTGTCAAATATTATGGGGATAATCCCTGTAATCCCTAACAAGGAACATGTCCACATGAGCAGCAGGTGTCACCTTGTCTGATGTCAGAACAACCACCTCTCTGCAGAGATGAGAGCAGAGAGCTTCAGTTTAAACATCATTAAGTATTTAGGTGATGTTTCTCAGTGAAGAGCTTCACATTTTAGCATCATAATGTCCAGATTACTTCTGAAAATTTCATTGTACAATTGGGTACTAAAAATAAACAAAATGGATTCCAGACATGCCTGTTTGCAGTCTGGAAACTCTCACTGGATGAGTAGAAATGGCACAATACTGAATAAAATGTGTAAATGCCCCTAAACTAAAAAGACATGCTAAAACTGGTGTAACAATTGTTCAACATTTGCTGTTATTTTCTGTTTATAAAGTGTTTGAAATTTCACCAAAACCTGATTAATACGAAATAGCTTTTGTTTTATTCACATTAGAAAAGTTATCTGTAATTTGTTAATTTTTACATGAATACTTGTACTGTTGCTTTAAGAAAGCGCTCTGTAACGATGTCAGCGGTGCTTCATGCTCAGTTGGCGCTAGGCTGCCTAAGAGGAGGTAGGAAACTTTTACTGCTTGTAGTTTTATAAAAATGTTCTATGAAAACATGTAAATGTAATTACATGCAGTTGTTAAACGTTGCCTTTACTGAAAAACACTCAGATGACATATTTGTTTCTCAATATGTGTCTGTATTTATTGGTCAGAGCAAGTATTTTCCTGCTACAGCTACGGGGTTTCCCCATGTGCTCTTCTCAAACAGGGGATGCTGACCTGTGTATGTGTTGAAGCTGCATGTTACTGAGCGTTTTGTTTCTGTCTGTGCAGGTATGTACATCTAGTTCTTAGCATCATTGTTTAAGCTGGTTGCATTAATAATATATGTTGGATTTAATTAATTATTATAACAGATTTATTGTTTTCTGTAAGAATTGTTACTTTTTTCCATGTTTAATGTTTTATTATTTTTCTTGGTAGTAAAGATTATTTTTGATTGAATTGTTTTGCATTGCTCTGCTGCAGTTGGCGCTAGGCTGCCTAAGAGGAGGGGATGCTGACCTGTGTATGTGTTGAAGCTGCATGTTACTGAGCGTTTTGTTTCTGTCTGTGCAGAATCCGGCTGGATAACTGTATTAAAGAGCAACTGGCTATACCTATGGTCTGGGTCCCTCCTTCATCAGAACACAACGCAGAGCATAAGCAAGTTAATCGGTGTCATAATTGAGGAGTGTTAGGACACAGGCAGATGAGACCGGTTACAATGGTGCCGTGACTTTTTTTTTGGATCTGTTGAGGAACGACGTCATCTCGTCCGCCGTGGGAAGCTACAAGTAAATCTCATTTTTGATTGTTTTTTTCTTGTGTTTTTGACAAACTCATTTTGGACATTTTCCCTACTCTCTTAAGAAGGAGAAACTGCACCTTTTGGTCTGTTTATTATCCAATACCAGAAAGTGACTGCACACTTCATAATATCAGAATTTCCTTTTTGGTGTTTTTTTTTTTTTTTTTTTCAGTGTGTTTAGACATCCACTGCTATTTAGCAATTTTGTTTATGTGTTACTTCTTATTTACTTTATTTGAATTAATCTCTCATAACAGTGTGTGTGCATTTTGGGGTTATGGCTGATTCTGACATTTTTGATGGGGAGGATAGCGATCTTGCAGCTCGTCCATACGAATTTGGTTTGGGGAGAGGGTTACTTTACAAATCATTAGAATCAAGAGCACCAGGGCGTGGATCTACAATTTTGAACACCCCACAATTAGCTTCGACTCGTTTTTCAGACCAACATATGCCGGGTCAGGCTGGGCAGGTTACACCAGATTTGGGTTCGCTTATTACCCAGCTAGCTGAAAAACTGGGTGACTCTATTAGAGCTCAACTCTCATCTGGTGAGCATGCACAAGGTGCGGGGGCTTCTGACCTGACGTATCAGGTGTCTTCTCCCAATGTTAGTCTTGTTATGCACTCTGATGCTAAGGAAACCCCCAATATTTCGAGGTGATGGCTCAGATAAGTTCACAGTACATGAATGGGAGAGTCTCATGTCTATGTACTTAAAAAGGAGGGCTGTTCCTGTCCATGAACAATCCCAAGAGACTATGGCGAGGCTGATGGGCAAGGCAGGTGATGTTGTGAGAATTACACTCCGCAACAACAAATCTATCAATCATGTCACATGTCCTAACTTAGTCTTTGACATCTTGAAACAGCACTTTAGTGAACTCACTTACTCCAACATGCCTCTAGCTGATTTCTATAATACGCTGCCAATGCCTAGGGAGGATGCAATGGAATACTGGATAAGATTAAATAGAATGATGGATGTGGCAGATGAATGCTTAAAGAGGCAGGGTCGAGGGATTGATGACCCACAGCATGAAGTGAGCATGATGTTTATTAAACATTGTCCTGACAGAGCTCTTGCGAGTGTCTTCAAGTTTAAGTCTGCAGAGAAGTGGACAGCAAGCGAGATTCAGGAAAGGTTAGATGAACACATGATGGAAAGGAAATCTCAGAGTACTATGCACACTCAGCAGCCCAAAGAAATTCCGAGAGTGGTTAAAGGATATTCTCATTGTCATGCACATAAGACTGACAGTCCTTCTGTTTCAGAAACTTCAGGACGGACTGCTCAGTGTGGGATACCTACACCAGCTACACCACTGACTACTGGGGTAGATAATGACTGTTTGCGGAGCTTGGTGAGCTTATTGGACAGGTTAGTGCTACAACATGGCAATGACCCTCGAAATCAAGCGGCCAGGGGTGCAGCTTCTCAGCCCTTACCGAGGGCTTGCAGGGCTTGTGGTTCTCATGACCATTCAACCTTGAGTCACTGTAAGCGTGAAAACCTCTGTTTAAGGTGTCTTTCCCCTGGTCACTGGAAGCGAAATTGCCCTCAGCAATCTGCACATGTGCTTCGGTCTGACAACAGGTCTGCGGATGCAGACCAACAGTTAAACTAGGAAACCCATGCCTGGGGAGAGGCGGTGTGGGTTGTGAAAATGAATCTCTCTCCAACATCTGTGATTTGGCAGACCTTTTTGAGGATACCTGTGCCAAGGCACCAAAGGGTTCAAGAGTGGTCATTCAAGCAGCACAGAAGCTTCAAGCTTTCAGTGAACTGTTTTATTCCCCTGTCCTCATTAACCACAGCGTGCAGCTCAAAGGCATGCTGGACTCTGGCTCCATGGCATGCAGTATCAGTGACCAAGCGGTGGAAAAACTGAGTTCTGCTGGGATCTTGCCAGAAAAGCAGCACCCTCAAGAAAGCATTATTCTTGTGGGGTGTGGTGGACTGCAAACTAAGCCTGATGGATTTTTTCAGCTGGAGATGGAAGTATTTGGCATCTCTTGTAGTGTACCCACGTTGGTTGTGCCTGGTCAGCATGATGATCTGATTTTGGGCTCGAATGTTATTAAACACATCATGCATGTTTTGAAACAGGATGAGAAATACAGGGGAAATGCATTGAAAAATGACTCTGACCCTGAAATCGGGCAGTTTTTGTCAATGTTTACAAATGTTGAACACTGGAGGGGTGAAGAAGTTCCAGACAAAATTGGCACTGTCAAGTTAACCCAGGCAGTCACCCTCTTACCCAGACATGAGCACTTAATCTGGGGTAAGCTTCCTGTCAAAGTTCCCATGTCCCCCGGGAGCACTGTCCTTGTCGAACCTACCAGCTCAAGAGCTGCCCCACGGGGTGCTCTAGTGGGTCGGCTCATCACACCATTGTGGGGTGATAGATGGGTGCCTTTGACAGTAGTGAACCCTTCTGACAAGCCATTGATGTTGAAAAAGAACAGCAAGTTAGCTGATGTCTCTCCATGTTTAGCAGTTGAGGACTTTGATGTTTTCCAGGGTCTGCACATGGCTGTAGAGGATCAGCAGAAGTATTCTCAGCAACAGCTACGACAGCTGTCGGCTACAAACAGTAACGATGTTTCTTTGGAAAGTCTGTGTGATATGGGTTTGGGGGCTATTGACTTGGACCTTTGCGAGGTTAGTGAAAGTTGCAAGTCCCAACTCATAAAGTTGCTGATGGAGTATCGTGACATTTTTTCTAAGGATTCCCTGGACTGCGGCAGAGTGCATGGTTACACCCACCGCATACGGCTGACAGACGACAGACCCTTCCGGTTACCGTACCGCAGAGTTCCTCCTGCACATTATGAAAAATTGAGACTGGCACTGACTGAGATGGAGGAAAAGGGAATCATTAGGAAGTCCTCAAGTGACTATGCCTCCCCTCTGGTGATGGTATGGAAGAAAGATGGGGGGCTTCGTATCTGCAATGACTTCAGGTGGCTGAATGCTCGCACGGTTAAAGATGCCCATCCCTTGCCTCACCAGTCTGACTGTTTGGCTGCACTTGGGGGGAATTGCATATTTAGCACAATGGACCTTACTTCAGGGTTTTTCAACATTCCAATGCATGAACATGACAAAAAATACACAGCCTTTACGACTCCCCTTGGACTGTATGAATACAATTGCATGCCACAGGGGCTTTGCAACAGCCCAGCCTCATTCATGCGGATGATGGTTGGAATTTTTGGGGACATGAACTTCACAAAATTGTTGTGTTACCTCGATGACTTGCTTGTATTTGCTCCATCAGAGGATGAGGCCCTATTGAGACTTCAAGTGGTTTTCCAGAGGCTGAGGGAGAACAATCTTAAGCTGGCTCCCAAAAAGTGCCATCTGATGAGAAGAAGGGTGCGTTTTTTGGGACATGTCATTGATGGCAATGGCGTGTCTGTAGACCCAGACAAGGTGGAGGTGATCTCCAAAATGACTCCTTCTGACATCATGGAAGATGATGGGCGTACACCATCAATAAAAAGGATAAAGTCTTTCCTAGGTATGGTGTTCTACTATCAGCATTTTATCCCAAACTGTTCCTCCATTGCTAAACCCCTGTTTGCACTTACAGCGGGACAGAAAAGGAGAGGACGCATGGCGAAGGACAGGAAACTACAAGGTGTTTATCGTAAACTCATACCTAATGACTGGACTGAGGGATGTGAGCAGGCTTTCCATAAGTTAAAAACCATGTTGTTGGAATGTGTCATGCTTGCTCACCCAGATTTTGATGAACCATTTATCTTATCCGTTGATGCATCTTTGGATGGTCTTGGAGCAGTGCTATCACAAGTTCCCAGAGGACAAACCAAAGCGCGACCTGTTGCATTTGCGAGCAAGACTCTGAGTGCATCACAGCGGAAGTATCCAGCTCACAGATTAGAGTTCATGGCTCTTAAGTGGAGCGTCTGTGAAAAGTTTAGTCATTGGCTGAAGGGGCGTCACTTTACCATCTGGACGGATAATAACCCCCTGACTTATCTCCTGACAAAACCAAAGCTTGATGCATGCGAAATCCGCTGGGTGTCAAAGCTTGCTTCTTATTCCTTTGACCTTAAACACCTGGCTGGGAGAAAAAATGTGGTTGCAGATGCTCTCAGTCGTGACCCCTTTGCAACACCAATCAGTCACAGGTTGTTGGAAGAGTCATATCTGTCTCTTACACAAGAAGCTGACCAGGTTGATGAAGATCGTGTGCAGAGCGCCTTCAAGTTCAGCTGTCAGCCAGAACATGATAAATCAAGGGATTATCCATCACTGAAGGTTGTTTATGACTCAGCTGAGATCCAAGCCCTGTGTCAGTCCCACTGTGACTGGATTTCAGGAGCAGAATCGAGGGCGTTGCAGTTGACACAACAAACTCAACACATGCAATGTGGGCAAGGTGAATTTCCAGTTCTCTCTATTCAGGAACTGCAGTCCAGTCAAGAGCAGGATGCAGTCATCTCTAAGGTTTTACCCTTTGTCCCCACCAGGACGAGACCATCTAAGCGTGAGAGGCGATGTTCAGACATAAAGGTTGTCAGAATGCTGAATCAATGGGATAAGCTGGAAATTCGGGATGGTGTAATGTATCGAGTGACGAAGAACCCTGTGACCAAGCAGAAGAGGTTCCAGTTTGTGCTTCCCCAGTGTTTACGAGACAAAGCATTATCTGGCATCCATGATCTGGCAGGGCACCAAGGACAAGACCGCACTTTGTCTCTTGCTAGGCAGCGTTTCTATTGGCCAGACATGGAAAAAGATGTGCGTAGATATGTCAAATGTTGTCAGAGATGTGTACTGGGAAAGACACCAGAACCAGCTGCTCGTGCACCCTTGGAAAGTATCCAGAGCTCTGCACCAATGGAGTTAGTCTGCCTAGATTTTTGGTCTGCTGAGGATGGCAAGCAACGGTCAGTGGATGTTTTGGTGGTTACTGACCATTTCACCAAACTGGCGCATGCTTTCCCCTGTGCTAACCAGACAGCGAAGCAGGTTGCTAGAAAGCTCTGGGATCATGTCTTTTGTGTTTATGGGTTCCCAGAACGTATACATTCTGACCAGGGCACAAATTTTGAAAGCAAACTGATTGCAGAACTTCTCCAGTTGGCAGGCGTTGCTAAATCCCATACCACGGCTTACCATCCTATGGGAAATGGTGTGACAGAGCGATTTAATCGCACCTTGGGTTCGATGCTTCGTACCCTTCCTCTTAAAGAGAAGCAAAGGTGGCCAGAACAAATCCAGACACTTACATTTGTTTACAACGCAACTGTTCATGAGACGACTGGGTACGCACCGTTTTACCTGATGTTCGGGCGGATTCCAAGACTGCCGGTGGACGTTCTGTTTAAGCCTGTCCTGAATGACCCTGCTTTTGCTGATTACGATTCATATGTCAAGACTCTCTTTTCCTCTTTGAGGAATGCGGTGGAAATTGCTCAGAAACATTCCCTTACTGAACACTAAACCAGTCCAGTCAGTACAACAAGCGCACAAAGGGCACTCATTTGTCAGTTGGTGACAGAGTTCTTGTAGCAAATAAGGGAGAGCGAGGGAAGCGTAAACTGGCTGACAGGTGGGAGGACAGCATGTACACCGTTGTCGAAGTGCATCCAGATATCCATGTGTATAAGATTCGGAATGGTGAGGGACAAACAAAGGTTGTACACCGAAATCTTTTGCTGGATGTGAGTTTCTTACCAATCCTCAGGTCAGATAATGAGGGAACAACGGATTTCTCAGTCAACAGTGATGGGTTAGGGTACAGCACCGTCAACAGTGGGGACGGGAGTCTCTCGTTCCCTGGTGACTCACTATTGGACGTGGATGTGACTGACGTGTCTTGTTCCACCACACCGGTGCTGTCGGGTGTCCCTGAGCTACAGACTCAGTCGCAGTCTGACAGTGATGAACATGGCAGTTTGACCTTGCCAGCTCCGGCGGCATCACTTAATGAAGGTGTCGATTCTCCAACTGGCATGGATGTGACATGTTCTGGAACTGCTTTTCCAGACAATCGGCAAGCTACTTTCGGGAGCAATGGACCATTTAGAACCCGTGCTGGGCGGTTGGTAAAATCAGTTAACAGATTAATAGAATCTATGGTTCAGGGGCCTTTCTTGAAGAGTTAGAAAATCTTACATGTTAGCTAATTCCTTTGAGTTAAGCATAGATTTTGTTTTAGTGACATATGTATTCCATGTAACCTATACTTTTAGGGTGTTTAATTTTCCATTTTTGATTTCATGAAAGTTAACACGGCGGGAGTTTTACTTGGGCCAGATACTGTTACGTAACAGGCGTAGCATTGAGCTAGGGACTTTTAGAGACTTGATCAACCTCTTTCTTTCCCGAACCTTCTGTTGAGGGTGACTTCTATGTTGCATGAGCAGACTAGGTCTGCCTTTTCATTTGTGCCAGGATGTGCCCGGTGTAGACTGATCCTTTTGTTTATACTTCTCTTTAGGCTGAAATCAGGATTTTGGTGAATTTCACGGGGGGTGAATGTAACAATTGTTCAACATTTGCTGTTATTTTCTGTTTATAAAGTGTTTGAAATTTCACCAAAACCTGATTAATACGAAATAGCTCTTGTTTTATTCACATTAGAAAAGTTATCTGTAATTTGTTAATTTTTACATGAATACTTGTACTGTTGTTTTAAGAAAGCGCTCTGTAACGATGTCAGCGGTGCTTCATGCTCAGTTGGCGCTAGGCTGCCTAAGAGGAGGTAGGAAACTTTTACTGCTTGTAGTTTTATAAAAATGTTCTATGAAAACATGTAAATGTAACTACATGCAGTTGTTAAACGTTGCCTTTACTGAAAAACACTCAGATGACATATTTGTTTCTCAATATGTGTCTGTATTTATTGGTCAGAGCAAGTATTTTCCTGCTACAGCTACGGGGTTTCCCCATGTGCTCTTCTCAAACAGGGGATGCTGACCTGTGTATGTGTTGAAGCTGCATGTTACTGAGCGTTTTGTTTCTGTCTGTGCAGGTATGTACATCTAGTTCTTAGCATCATTGTTTAAGCTGGTTGCATTAATAATATATGTTGGATTTAATTAATTATTATAACAGATTTATTGTTTTCTGTAAGAATTGTTACTTTTTTCCATGTTTAATGTTTTATTATTTTTCTTGGTAGTAAAGATTATTTTTGATTGAATTGTTTTGCATTGCTCTGCTGCAGTTGGCGCTAGGCTGCCTAAGAGGAGGGGATGCTGACCTGTGTATGTGTTGAAGCTGCATGTTACTGAGCGTTTTGTTTCTGTCTGTGCAGAATCCGGCTGGATAACTGTATTAAAGAGCAACTGGCTATACCTATGGTCTGGGTCCCTCCTTCATCAGAACACAACGCAGAGCATAAGCAAGTTAATCGGTGTCATAATTGAGGAGTGTTAGGACACAGGCAGATGAGACCGGTTACACTGGCATGAACTGTTTCTATTTTAGTTAGGTGCTTTTAAATTTATTCGTTTAAACTACATTAGATAAAAACCGTATAGTGAAATTTTAAAGTAAAACCTTTAATATCTTTAGCACTTTATTTGCATGTTTAAAGCAGTTGTTTTGACTTATTTCTTCTAAGCTGTCATATTTTCCCTGCTTTTGAGGAGGTACTTTGAGTAAAAAAAGTTTGTTGTAGAGTTTATTAGCATAAATGCAGAGAACACAACATTGGTACAGAGCATCAAAAAGTTCCAATGATAACATTTAATTCAGGAAATATTATAAGTTAAGAGCTTCCATCAACATGAAGCAGAACAAAACGGTGAGAAGATTAAATGCAAAAACATTGCCATCCCATATGTTGATGGAGTCTCTGAAAAACTCAAGAAGCCTTTTGAGAGAGAGGCTCTCTCTCAAACACAAAATCCCAGTACATTTCAAACCAAACAAGACCCTTAGGCAGAGGCTAGTGCATCCTAAAGATAAAACCCCCAAACCAGATATGAGCGGAGTGGTGTATGCCGTTCAGTGCAGTGAGGAATGCTCTGATCTTTATACTGGAGAGACCAAACAATCTCTCCAAAGACCCATGGCTCAACACAGAAGAGCTACCTCCTCTGGACAAGACTCTGCTGTGCACCTACACCTTAAGGTCAAAGGACATTCGTTTGAGGACCAGAATGTTCACATTGTGGACAAAGAGGACAGGTGATTTGAAAGGGGTGTGAAGGAAGCCATTTATGTTAAGAGAAAAAAAAAACACTACCATAAATAGAGGGGGCTGGTCTCAGGTTCCAGCTCTCAAAAACCTAAAACGCAGCAATAGAGTTGATTCCTTCCCACTACAATCTTAACCCCCATCGCCATGCAGGGGACCAGATCATCTCGCCTAGGCAGCCAGGCCAACAATGCCCCTAACGACTCCCTTTTCAGACGCATAGTCCAGTATCGGTAATTGCAAGCCAACAATGACCTGAACAACTTCCCATTACTAATTGTGGACCTGTTTCTACGGTTCAGTTTGCATGTTTTCTAAGCCATAACAAGGTTTTGTTGGGCTACTAAGCCTGGAACTCCAGACATTTTGAATTGAGAAAGCTTCCTGGATGAGAAGCGTAACAAACTTCAAACTTGGAAAACAAAGTTGTTGTTGTTTTTTTGTTTTTTTTTTTTTTTTTTACTTTTTTTACTTTTTTGGAATGACTTTTTTGGAATGACTATAACCTCGGTCCTCGAGGCCCGCTGTCCTGCAGGTTTTAGAGGTTTCCCTGCTACAGCACAGCTGATTTTAATTGAAAGCTGATTACTAGGCTTTTGGTCTACTGCAATAATTATAATCAGCTGTGCTAAAGCAGGGAAACCTCTAAAACCTGCAGGACAGAGGTCCTTGAGGACCGACTTTGGGGATGCCTGACCTGGATGCAACAACAGTTACAAAACAGTTTCTTAATTCCTCTGTTGCCTAACATCATGCCTATCATTTCCTAGGAGATTACAGACACAGTAAGCCTTTGTAGATGGACCAAATATTTATCTAAATTTCAACATATAAAATGACACAGCCGATTCTTTTACATTTACTTTAAATGATTGTTGAACATGTGAGAATACGCCAACCCTGCAAAGACCACTGTAAATACAGAGGGTTATTCTTTTTCTTTTATCTCTTTGGAGCAGGAGCATTAGTTAGACTAACAACTGTATTGTGTTACAATCAGGCAATGGAGGGGATGTGAGCTGACTGTAAACAGTTTAGATTAGATGAGGGTGAAGAGAAGGTTTGGGTGGGAGAGAAGGCTGAAATACCATTTATCCGCCACACAATTGAATCTTTCTGCTAGCTCATACCATAAAGCAAGACTGGCCATTTGCCGAAATTATAAACAATAACTCAAAACTGAGGTACAAGCTAGCTTTGTCATCATGGCTACATAATCACATCTGTTTGTGTCTTTTGCTCTGGCTCCTTCTGACAGTGTGACTTTTTGATCAAATTCTCCCTCATCACAGTTTGAAAGGACCTCTGCCTGTCCATGATTGAAGCCCAGAGCCCTTCTGTTGTCTCAGGAGTGCATTTGTTCAAAGAAACCAGGGGCTTTACCCTCACACCAATAAGCTCTGCTTTCATGTGTTCAGATAGATCATACACAAACAAGTCACTCAGGCTGGATGGCACTAAAATAAAATATACATCTGAAATTTATCAAACATATCAAACATTTGGAGTTTTAGTTTGTCCAGAGTTTAACAAAATATAAGCTGTAATTTATTAATTGGTTTGTTTTATGGATGGTAAAAATATTCAAAATGTGTTAAAGATTATCCAGAAGTTAAGAAAGAAAATCTACATTTCTTGTTTCTGGAAAAAAAAATTAAGCTTCAGTGAAATGGTCAGGTAGTTGAGTGAATATGAGCAAAAACCTAACGTCCACAGAAAGACTTAAAGAATTCAGCAACAGTTAAACTCATTTAATACCACTTTTAAAATGAGAAAAACTCATTTAAAGCAAGATATAAGAAGTGAGAGATGGTACAAGACCTTAGTAGTATGAATAATCATCAGTAGGAAGCACAAGAATTGGACGGTGTTTCATCACCAGCAAATCATCTCTGTTTTTATCAGGTTGCTGGGTGAAACCAAACATGGTGAAAAAGATGGAGAAGGTATAAAGGGGGACTGAAAAACATTGAGTCATAGCAAAGATGGTGCAGAAAAAAAAATGCTTCACACTTATTATCCTGTCTAAACAAACCACCTTCAGGACCCTGAAAAAAGGCTTTGAGCTGGTCGTGCTTGTGCTGCTCCCACACACTCATTCACACCCCCTCCCATTCACACACACATACTGAAACAATGATAAACTGGACCTATCAAAACAGACTTTTGTCTCATCTGCTGAGAGCTAATGAGAGGAATTCAGAAGCATGAGATGCGGTCAGACTCATTACTCCAATGAGCCGCAGCTGTGACTCCCTTCCACCAAAAATGTCTCCCTTTCTCTCTGTCTGTCTGTCTTTCCTCTGCTAATAACAATCACTCTCCTCTCAGCTCCTTGTTGTGCTGTTTCTTTCATATTTTCTGCTCACCCTCCTGCAGCCTCTCTCTCATTTTGCCTGTGACGAGCCTCCTGTCACTCTGATCATGTGCAACAAGCTCCCTCTCCTTCTTATACGAGTGTCTTCTCTAAACCTAATCTTATTTATGCTGACGAAAGAGGATAAATCAACATGTACACATCCCTCTTTCATTCCCATACCACATACAATAACTGAAAAAAAGCTATAGTAAACATTAAAGATGTATTCTCAGAGGTGGTCCTAAAAAATACCGCTTCTGGTCTCGTAGGTATTTATTCTAGTATCAGATGGAATCATACTGGCGTAAAAGTTGTAGTTTTTTCAATGCATCTTTTTTGGAATTGCAGAATAGGAATCAAGGAAGGACTGCATAAGAGGGCCATGTGGTTTAACAGTAGAGCAGGCCACCCATGATACTGCTTATTTTTTAATCCACCTGTCTAGGGTTTGTGCTTATTGCATGTCCTCTACCTGATTACGGCCAATGAAAGCCACTAGAACCACCTAATATTTAACAATGAACTGCATTAATCTTACTGCCACAAATATTTGTAATATTAGAATATTATCTTACATTAATTTAACCTACCACTGAGGGAGTTTCCACGGCTCTTACTGTAAGCAAGGTTATGCTGCTGCTTTATTTACATTAAACTGTTTTACTTTTTTTTTATATATATATAATCGCACACTATACTGATCACCACTGCAATATGTACATTATCATGATTACAAAAGTGCAACTGATTTTGAAAATTTTCTAACAAATATGTCAAAAAATAATTCTCCAAATATAGTGTATGATACACTATATTGCCAAAAGTATTTGCTCACCCATCCAAATTATTGGAATCAGGTGTTCCAATCACTTCCATGGCCACAGGTGTATAAATTCAAGCACCTAGGCATGCAGACTGTTTTTACAAACATTTGTGAAAGAATGGGTCGCTCTCAGGAGCTCAGTGAATTCCAGCGTGGAACTGTGATAGGATGCCACCTGTGCAACAAATCCAGTCGTGAAATTTCCTCGCTCCTAAATATTCCACAGTCAACTGTCAGCTGTATTATAAGAAAATGGAAGTGTTTGGGAACGACAGCAACTCAGCCACGAAGTGGTAGGCCACGTAAACTGACGGAGCGGGGTCAGCGGATGCTGACGCGCATAGTGCGAAGAGGTCGCCAACTTTCTGCAGAGTCAATCACTACAGACCTCCAAACTTCATGTAGCTCAAGAACAGTGCGCAGAGAGCTTCATGGAATGGGTTTCCATGGGCGAGCAGCTGCATCCAAGCCATACATCACCAAGTGCAATGCAAAGCGTCGGATGCGGTGGTGTAAAGCACGCCGCCACTGGACTCTAGAGCAGTGGAGACGCGTTCTCTGGAGTGACGAATCGCGCTTCTCCATCTGGCAATCTGATGGACGGGTCTGGGTTTGGCGGTTGCCAGGAGAACGGTACTTGTCTGACTGCATTGTGCCAAGTGTAAAGTTTGGTGGAGGGGGGATTATGGTGTGGGGTTGTTTTTCAGGAGCTGGGCTTGGCCCCTTAGTTCCAGTGAAAGGAACTCTGAATGCTTCAGCATACCAAGACATTTTGGACAATTCCATGCTCCCAACTTTGTGGGAACAGTTTGGAGCTGGCCCCTTCCTCTTCCAACATGACTGTGCACCAGTGCACAAAGCAAGGTCCATAAAGACATGGATGACAGAGTCTGGTGTGGATGAACTTGACTGGCCTGCACAGAGTCCTGACCTCAACCCGATAGAACACCTTTGGGATGAATTAGAGCGG